TGAACAAGGGTGTGTTTAGAGATCTTAATTATTAGAAAAAAAAAACACCACTGAGCAAGGCTTGGCATGATTTGTAATGTTTTAGGTAGTGTAGAGGTTTTGGCAAAGATTGCTTTCATTACTTTTATCATCTTGTGACCTGTGATAGTAACTTACTATTTAATATATTTGAAGAGTGCATATTTACATGTTGCCTTTGGTTCTGTTCATGAAAAGTTTCCGCACTTCGCACTGAACAATTAGTGTTACTAGTGCTGCTCTTTGGATTTGTATCAACTGTGGGCACTATCATTGAGACAACTGCAGGCAGAAGCTCTCTTTAAGAGGAAATGTGATGTGGTGCTGGCTTAAAGGAATTTATTAATAAGGTTTGAGATTTTTACAGAGTAACTTCATATTCTTTTCGGAAGATCTGTCTTGTAATTCTAGCTGTTCTGTTATTTTGGGGGAAGATTCTTAAGACTGAAATTAACAGAAGTCAGGACGATCGTTCTTGGTACCTTCCTGATTGATATTTGAAATATGTTGTATGGAAAATACCTGTAGTTTAAGAGGACTTTGGCATTTTCAGCTCATTTTTTCTACATTTTTGTTGTAAGCACAAACTGTACAGCATACTTTTCGTCTTTTGATCAGACTAGATCTGGTGAGAATTAGTTTTCTATGTTATCCTGAAAAGTAGAATAATAAATAACAGGAACAAGATGCTCCCATTCATGGAATGAAAATATGATCTTGTTTGGGCTTTTGTTTTTTTTGGAATGGGAGTGGAAACATGACTTCACCAGTAAGTTCTTTCTGATTACCAAGTACCTTTACGAAGAGCTATTTATAGACTTATGTAATTGGAATACAGAGGGGAGTCTGTTGTATAGCATTTGGTAGGTAGTAGGAATACAAATGCTGCTATCCATGTGAAGAAGTATAATGGCATTAAATACAAAAATGAATGCTTTTATAAATACCTGAAACATGCATTTTTCGTGCTGATTTTTCAGCAAATAAAATATTCTTATGAAGGTGTAATTCTTCCTGTATTAGAAATCTGTGTAGAAATTCTTGCCGGTGAATCTGTGATGTGCTTTAGTACAGGATATCTATGCATATTTAAGTTCTGTCTTGTGTATTTTCATTATGTTTGTGTAAAAATAACAGAATCATAGAATGCTTTGGGTTGGAAGGGACCTTTAAGGGTCGCCTGGTCCAACCTCCCTGCAATGAGCAGGGACATCTTCAACTTGTTCAGGTTGCTCAAAGCTCCCTCCAGCCTGTCAGTCTTTCCAGGGATGGGGCATCTACCACCTCTCCAGGCAACCTGTGCCAGTGTTTCACCACCTTTATTGTGAAAAAATTCTTTCCTATATCTAGTCTAAATCTAGCTTTCTTTAGTTTAAAATGATTACCCCTTGTCCTGTCACAACAGGCCTTGTTAAAAAGTCCCTCCTTATCTTTCTTATAAGCCCCCTTTAAGAACTGAAAGACTGCTATAAGGTCTCTGTGGAACCTTCTCTTCTCCAGGCTGAACAGCCCCAACTCTTTCAGCCTGTCTTCACAGGAGAAGTGCTCCAGCCCTCTGATCATCTTCATGGCCCTCCTCTGGACCCACTCCAACAGGTCCATGTCCTTGTTCTGAGGACCCCAGAGCTGAAGGCAGTACTGCAGGGGGGGTCACACCAGAGCGGAGTAGAGGGGGAGAATTGCCTGCTTCGACTGCTGGTCACGCTTCTTTTGATGCAGTCCAGGATATGGTTGGCTTTCTGGGCTGCAGTCCCACATTGCTGGGTCATGTTGAGCTTCTGGTCAACCAGCACCCCACAAGTCCTTCTCCATGGGGCTGCTCTCGATCAGTACAGGCTGGGGGATGATGTGATACCTGGGATTGCCCCAACCTGGGTGCAGGACCTTACACTTGGCCTTGTTGAACCTCATGAAGTTCACACAGGCCTACTTCTCAAGCTTGTCCAGGTCCCTCTGGATGGCATACTGTCCCTTCAATGTGTCAACCGTACCACTCAGCTTTCATTTTGAATGAATTTAATTTGTTTTCATTTAAGTCAGCATGATACTTTATAGTACTGAAACATACCAGATGGCCAAGGATGTCACCTAGATGCTAAATAAAGAAAACATTTATTGAAGCCACAAGGTCTGTGTTTCAGAAAGAAAATACCCAAGTAGTGTGGATTTAATCTAAAATGTAAAACATTGTACCTTGGCCGACCTTATTTGTAACCTTCTGAGTTTTGAAATACCGTATGACTAAGAGAATACTGTGTCAGGCCTAATTCAGGGAAAGCTCTGCAACATACTTCAGCTGGCCCTGTCTAATTGCTACTTCAAGGAAATAGTACACAGTAAACAAATGTTTTGCAATTTGAATCTCTTATCTCTTAACAGAACAAGCCATTGAAAGCAGCTCTTTAAACCTATTCTATTTTTTGCAGCATGTTGCACATGAAGTTTATCTTGGTTTTAATGTAAATTTTTGGTTTTATAAATGTAAATACAGCAATAAAAAGGAAGAATTTCTCTTTTTAAGCAGATTATAGTAATTGCAGCAGCACAGGTTGATTTTTTTAATGCTAAGTGATAGGAGTCCCACGTATAAACTACAAACCAGAACTCTTTTTCATTTGAAACCTGTAAGAGCCACTTTCAACAATATAATAATGCAGGGCTTAATTTATGCAGTAGTCAAATTTATTAACACTCAAAATGGTGAACAGTAATGAGTTCTGGGCAAAATTGCTCTGGAAGAGAAATGCTAATACTAGAAACACTGAAGTCTCGTAGTGTGGATCTCCCCAAAATTTTCCTTTTGTTCTGCTGGACATCTTGTTAAGGATCATCCTGTTTCAAATTTACTTTGTTCCTTTGTCTTCAAGAAGTCATAGTTACACCATAATTTCAGAGTAGTCTATTTTCCCCTTTTCTTTCGTGATCAGTGTTTCAGTAAAATAGTTATCATGAATGTGAAAAATTTGACTGCTTAAGAATTCTCCAATGTTTCTTTAGTGGCAAAGCTTTCCTAATGTTAAAAGATGAATTTCAGTCCTCTGGTTTTATTTGTTGTCACTGCTGGGTGAACACGGTTTTAAGTTTGGGAGCCCCTTTCAGGGATGACTGGTTCACAGTTGGGAGATTCTGCAAGAGGAGACCAAATGTCATGTAAATGTTCTGGAACAGAGCAAATAAGTTGGCTCAGACAGCTTCTGCTGTTGATCAATGCCTGTATTGTTAACAGATGTCTGTGTATTGCATCAATAAGTAATAAAGTGCTTGTTCATAATTGTGTTAACAGATGTCTGTGTATTGCATCAATGAGTAATAAAGTGCTTGTTCATAATAATTACCAGGAGGCAACGGTTTTGTGGGTTTGGTGTGTGGCTTATCAAGGAAAATCCATATCCCGATCAGATGGGCAAAGAAAATGCTAAGACTCTATTTTAATTTTTAGTTTCAAGACAGTGAATTACTGAAAGAAAGCAATGCATTTCCTTTTCAAGTGGGACTATTTATCCATGGATCTTTTTGCAAGAGACAATTGGAAGAAACCTCATTTCTTCTTCCAGACCTATGAATAGGCAAATATTCATAGACACACTTCTAGTCACTGCTGGGAAACAATCATGTTCACTGATCTAGTGGTGAAGCAGTACTGATGAGCAGATTGCCTGGTTTTCTATATAAACCGTTTTAAATGACTGGAAGAAATACTAAAGACTCTTGGCAAACTCTGTTTCTTATCAGTTGTTCTGAGGATGTAGTTGGCTTCTGCTATAGAAAGCTGTCAGGTTCCAATCATGGAGGTGCTGTTGTCTAGAGTTAGACAATCCGTCATCTGTCATCCCTATCTAATGGATACTGCTAGTCGGTTTTGTTTTGTCGTCACCGAAAGATTATTAAAGGTTCCTTTTTTTTTAGAGTTTGTTCTTTCATGAGACTTTATCCTTACATTGCCAGGGTTTGATACACACATATTCAGAAAACATGATATATAAGATGATGCCTGAATTTAATTTCTGTGGGTCCCTATATCTTCAAAGTGTTTTCTTGGTAGATAGTTCTCATCTGACAAAACTCCACAAGATAACCCTAAATATCCATTGAGGTCTTTGGCATATTTGGATAGGATTGGATACGAAGATTTCCTAGGAATCAGTACAAAGAAAATGCTGCTTCTGCTTTTCATGTGTTTAGCTCAGTTATTGTTTCATCCAATAATAAACCTAAATTGGTGACAGTTTCTTTGGATTTCTATAGTTCATCCTTCTCTGGGAAAACACAGCATCATTGTCACTTGTTTTTATCTTAAACTTCTGTATGGCTTGTAGCTGGAGTTAGTGGTTGATTCAACTTGGTATTTAAGTGCAGTGCTATTATGGGAAGAGTGTTACTATAGTGTATACTTAGTGTGGGTAATGTAGGAGGAGTAAGAAATCCTTACTTTTAGTTTCTTAATGCATACTAAACTCCCACAAGTTGAAGAGTATACGGTGGGTATTCAAAGTAGTAAAACTATCATTCTTACTTGTCTTATCTCTAGGAAATTTTTTTCCCATCCATAGTCTACATAGAAGTCATTGTTCAGGAATAAGTTAGCTACCTAAGTCAGTTGCACAGTATTTATTCAGATGTTTTGATTCCCAAGATGCTTCCCAGAGATTTTTAGAAGACCAGTAGCTCACTCATCTCAAATTCAAGTACATGGAGACGTGAAGCATTTGTACTGTGTCTGCAGAAGCCAATGTTAACTAAAAATCTTTTTGAAGCACATTGCCAATAGTTCAAAATAGCTTAAAACTAATTATAGTCTTAGATGTATATGGCCTCCTAAATGGAAGTAGTCTCTATTAAGATCATAGTTTTTACCATTTCATAGTGTAGGTGTGTCATACACATTTCAGGAGAGTATCGTCTTTCGTATTTAGAACTAGGTTACTACTTTGTTTCTGGAGTGTGCTTACAGTTAATATTACCTTTCTTTTACTTTGTTTCAGGAGTATGATGATGGTTATGGAACTGCTTATGATGAACAAAGCTATGATTCCTATGATAACAGCTATAGCACTCAAGCACAAAGGTAAGTATGCAAATCTGCTGTAACTAAATTTGTAATATTCTACAGTTGGGAAGTTAGTTCTACTTAAAGATTTTTTCAATTTCATCTTAAACAGCAAAAATGTTGTAAGAGGCTTATTAGAAATAACCCCCAGCGTTACTTCTCTGTAGTGTCACGTAAGTATGAAAGTCAAGTTACTGAGTGGTTGAAAAAAAACAGAAATGAGAACTTGAAACGAAGAGTTTTAGTGATGTGAAATCATAAATCAGAAACTTTTTTTAAAATTCAGGAAAACTTAATTCAGGTTCATTTGGGGGGGACGGGCAGAGAGGGGAGAGAAAAACCAACTTTATAAAGTGTATTAAATCATCTCAAATAGAGCTGATTGCATTTTCTTACTACTTAAACATGGTTATATTCCAGTATTTTACCTTTATTTAGGTGTAAAAAAAGTACAGCATGTTGTTTGTTTTACTCCTTTGTGCAATTGTCTTTCTGATAAATTCTAATCTCTTGCCATTTGTGTTCCTTGCTCCACTTCATTCTCAACAGTATTTTTAAGCACTTCTGATTTATTTTCTTAATTTTGCTTTCTTCAAAGCAGTTGCTATTTGAAAACTTCATGAATTACAAGGAATACTAATGTGTCCCAATGATGGGAAAAATGCTGTGGAGTACAGACTACTTGTATTAGGTGGTAGTTGAACTTAATGGCAAATACCACATGATACATTATTTAGCAGCTTGGCCGGTCATCCCCACTATTAGCTACTACTAATGTGCAGATCTGCAAAGGGAACTTTTGTGTGCCTTTTACTGAGTTGTAATTTATTCTCACTCTTTCTGTTAGACCAAGCATTCATATTTTGATAAATAGTAGATTTTGTAATGTCACTGAGAATTTCTTGAAATTTATGGCAATAAACTTCAAATGATTTAAACTAGAATGTTGAGAAAATGGTAAAATAAAGTACTGTAGTTCTGCATTACTGCTTTGATTATTTGGGGTGATTAGACTTTCAAACCTTGCCCACTGGGAAGAAGATGACAGTAGGAAAGAGACATTGGTGGATATCATGATGTTGATATAGATACTACTTAGATTGTTTTACCTTCTGCTGAATATTTAAGAGATTTTTTACAATGTAGCCTTACCTGAAATAGTACAGTACTGTTCACAGCAAAGTTGAGAACAAAACTGATTACACCTGACATCTGCTTTGCTGTAGTGTTGACACACCTAGCTTAAATTTTGTTGTATAAATGAGTATTTTCCTGTGCCCAACAATTTAGTCAATGTGAAAAACCTTAGTGGAAGATTCAAGTGTCATTATTGTTGACAAGTAACAGAATGAAAATACCTTTGTGTCTGATAGAGTCTTGTAAGCTACTGAAAATTGATAAAAATAATATGATGTAAGAAACTAGCAGTGTAGGACTTCCAAAATATGAGGCTCTAGAATGTTACATTTAGAGAGCAGCTGCTGGTAATCTTTTTTTCCAAAAAGAAAATTACCAAAATAGTCTTCAACTTTTATGTTGGTAATTCTGTTCTGTTTTACTGCTTCTAGTGTTGGTAAACGGGTTTATTGCATGCAAACATTTGGACTTCATTACAAAGTCGTTTGCCTGAGCCAAAACTAAACATTACTTGGATTTTGTATTTTTTTCCATGTTAGAAGTTTTTCACCAAGATTTTTTCCTTTGAACTCAAATAAGCAAAAAGCACATCTCCCAAGAAACAAAATTGCTCTTGTAAAGGAGTAATATGTAAGAATATGTATAGTATTCTTAGACACAATATGTACACGTGCCTAGCCGTCTGGAAGGAGATACTTCATAAAATGATTGCTCTATATTTTACCTGTAGTTTCACAATACATACAGTGTTAGATTTTGTTGAATCCATTAGCTCCTGAATGATTACTTCACTTTTTCCCCTAATTTTATTAAGTGCTGCATGGTAAAAGAAAACAGGAAATTATTCACTTGTACGTTTCTCATGGGTCATCAGCACTCATTTTCTGGCATATTTTCTGGGTTGGCAAAAAGATTTCTAGGATTGTACTGGCAAGCAAAAAGTAATAACTATAAACAACCATCTGAGCTACCTAGAGCATCATTCCTATCCTTAATCTGAATATCAAATAGTAGCCTATATTGCAAAATGTCATTTTGTAACCACTAAGAGATACTTACCATATTTAGGTGCATTACGATGCCCTTACTGTGAAGGAAATTGGGAAAAGTGTATTGTTTTCGTAGTTTAGCCTTATACTGTTCTTTGTATTTTTCCCTCATAAAGAATGAAAAGAAAATATATTTGCGCATAGAGGGCATTCACATGTTTAAAATACATCATTTAGTAACTAGCATTTGTAAATAACTTTTCCTCTTTCCTTTTGTAAGTTGAAATTAGTAATCTTAAAATAATAGTATTTCTAGTATGTCTTCTGATATTCTCTAGAAGTTTGTGAGACTAAGATACTGAGTATTAAAAAGGAAATTTGAGAAATAGCTAGTGAACTGAAAAGATAGGATTGCTTCTTAAGTTATTTGCAGGAGTCTTTTCCTGCATTTCATCAAACTTAATTTTCACAAGTGTACACAGTATGTACAATGTGCATGTGTGATGCAGTGGAGACGATTGAAATACTCATTTTGGTTTTAAAGTTTTTGCTTATTTTAGTGATTCCTTTGGTAAAGGTGAAAATTCTCCAAATTAGACCATTCAGTACAATGCAGCATGACTCTTCTCTATTGTTTTTAATTTTGATGTTTCTAGTGTATTTCCCAGAAATAGTCCAATCTGGACTTTTTTAGTCCAGAGATGGAGAAGGACTAGGATGGGCGATACCTTCAGATATGAAGAATAGCACACCGTATTTGTGCATTAAGGAAGTTGAGATTTTGTATGCCTTTGCAAACAGTTCTTCCTTTCTATAACCTAACTGCTTGCTGCTACCAAATCATGTGTGTTTAAAAGTTTAAAGGCATTTTATTTGACATTGTATGAGACTGTATCCTTGCTTGTGCTTAACAACCTGAAGTTCTAGTTAAAAATGTATCACAGCACTAATAGGGAGAGAAACAGCAGAAACTTTTCTCCCAAGTTCTCATCTGTCTTAATGCCCTGTAATCCTATAAAAAAATAGTTTTTCTTAAAAATATTTTCTTATTCACAGTTGTTTGTGCAACAAAGCCCCAAATAGTGCTTCAGGATGTCTTTTAACAGAATTATTTTTTTAATGGTCAAAAAGATTTAAAAAATATCCCTTGGAGCTGTACTGAGCTTGACTAGATATCTTAACAGATTTTTTAGAAGATGTGACTAAATTATATGTATAGTTTTTGCAGAGGATTGCAAGATATTTTTACCAGTATAAACTTGGAATGATTAATCAACTGGGCTGTTCATATTGTTATAAAAAAACCAAAGCAATCTAAAATTAATTTAAGTGTTTCTCAATTTCTGAAAATCAAAGGCTAGTATATACTTAAAGCAACCAAGACAGTTTTACCTTAATAGAGCATAATGAACACTGTCGAAAGCTATGATCGTTTATGGTTGATACTCAATGCCTAGCTAAGGAGAGCAGGAGGACTAGGCTGAATGTTACTGTCATGCAGGGCAGATTTCACGTTATGCAGTCAGTAATGCCTTCATGAAATTTCTTATGTGCATATATAGTAATTTAACATGTGCAGTTGTATGCCAAAAACCTTTCTGGGATCTTATGGTAGAATGTGAACTGCAAGTGTGAAAAAACTCCTGGTGCTGATATTTGCCTATGTCAGATGAATGTATACTTGTCAGCTTCCCTCACCAGCACATAGGCATCCTGACACAACCTAGGTGACTCTTAAAGGACTTATCCAAATCTGTCTAGAACAGTAGTTCTTTACTTGGATTTATTGCAGAAAGTAGTGAATGTTTTAATGGCCTGATGTTGCTGGTAGACCAACTTTATTATGAAAAATCAGAGAGGAATATTGTGGAGGAAGCAGGAGCGTTTAGTTGGGTCTTCATTTAAATTTGTACATCAGTTTAAAGACTTTCAGCATGAAAAAAAAATCTATTTTGAACCTCCAAAATATGTTTCAAATTGAGCAAAAGTGCTTTTGTCCCTTAACGGCTCCATACACAATTTGCACAAGTGTTTGCAGAGACAATAATAGGGCAAAGGGGAATGGATGCTAATAAATCAGTTGTCACTGTCAGTTCACTGTTTAATGTTCTCTAGAATACATAAGATTTATCACTGAGGAATTGTAGAATAATGGTAGTGTATGGAAACAAAGTCCACCAGGGAGATGTACTACATCATTCGGATTTAGCTCTGCCATCTGCTTAATAGCATTGAGATGACTACAGAGGTACTTATGATCAACCATTCATAGCAGTGACAGATGCTGCAGAGAGTTAACATGCCAGGGGAAGAGGTTTGTTACTAAAATTCGGATTATGTGACAAGGTTGCCGAGAAAGGAGGCTGAGTTTGTTACCTCTCCAACAGCATTAAAGGTTTACTGTGTGCTTTTAAGTTTACTATCAAGAGAAAATGGCTAACACAGTTACTGTAGTACAAAAATATGTGGAGAACCCCATCTGTCTGCTTTGCAGCACTCAGAAGTTTCAAATAACTTTGAAGGCTTGTCTGCCAGCATTTAAAACTGGATACTACTTTTCCTAGAAAAAAAAAACCACTCTTGTCTAGCTTCATTGGTTTTTACCTGCAACAGAGATCAGCAGTCTCAACTATAAAAGGAATAGTTTGTGTAACTACATGCCAGTGTCTGTTTAGGGGCAAGAATAAGCATTCATATAGTAATTAGTACATTGTATGTTATAACTTATTTATAATTTTAAAACTGTTTTAGATCTTCAAGCAGGGTGATCTCACCTTCACTCCATTGCAGAAGTTAATCTAAATGCAGATATAAAAGGGCAAAGATTAGGACTATTGTAATTGCACGCTTTGTCTACAGTTTTCTGCAATGTCTTCTGGTTTTCACACTTGC